CGAGCTAAAGAGCAACAGTGAAGTAAATAGAAAATGACTGGAAGCAATAAAAACCTTGAAGGCATTTGAAGAATTCCTCTCCAAAACTGGGAGCACCTTAATCCGAACAGAGTTGGCGCACTTCAAAGTGGCTCACCCTCATCAGGAGTTCCTTTCCCTCTAAGCCAGGAAAGAATCCTCATCTCGATTACAAAATCTAATTCTAAACTGGCAGTCCTCTGAATGCCCCCACACAAATCAAATCAAAAACCGAAGCGCTATCATAAGGCGTCTCAGCCGACTTACCCTTATTGCAATCATATGTCTACTACTTATGTCTTTCTTACACGCCATGTGGGTGAACGTCAAGGCGAGAAGGAGACAAATCATCGGATTCTTCTTATTCTCATTCCAAACTCGCAAATATTCTCCTGAAATGATTACTTGCCGTCAGCTTGCACCTTTCTAGAAAAGAAATGAAGTAAACTTCGAACCCAGAGCATGACGATATGACCCAGTAATTAGCGAATTATTCCCAGATATGGCTTGAAGCGCATGGTTCCCGGGAGACTGAAGAACAACAAAAATAATCTTCATTTTGTACTCTACATTGCTAAGCATAAACACTACGGGCACTGAATAAACATCTACTTTATCTGCTGTCTGAAAATACATCTACTGTAGCAGTGAAGTAGGCGTGTCAGCAATGACTGCAGTGCAAGATGATAAGGTACCAAATGGGTAAAAACCTACTGTTGTGAAACTGACCTTTGAGAGAGATCTCATCACGTAACGATGATAGGAGACATTTTGCGAGTGTACGAAAACGTAATTCATGGCATTGAATATTCGTTTGTACAGGACTTCCCGACTATTTGGGAGCGTGAGTTGATGCGCTGTCTGAAGAAAGACAAGACTGGCTTGGTAGCGGGTAAACAAAAAAGTAAAGTTGTCAAAATAACGAACGTTTGTTAAAGTATGATACCATCGGACATATTCGAAAGCAACCGGCCAGCAATGAGCTTTTATCGCACAGAAATACAAAAGATTTTGGAATGTTGTAGACCTGCAACGGCTACAGATTTGAGAAAAGCAGCACTTAGAAGAAACTTCAAACTTATTGTCTCAATAAAGAGACAAGCAATAGTCTATGTGAAAAACCACACTTACTTTTCCGAGCGAGTTATGCGTGGTTGTAGGAAAGCATAGCAGCAAACAATCAACATATCCTTGATAAATAAGCAGAATCAGGGTTAGCGGCCGTAATATAGAGATGAAAAGGTTTGATCCTTTAACGCTGATAGCTCGATTCCTAGTAAACGAGACTTGATGAGCTTCAAGGCAGTAGTCATGGCAGCTAAAAGGGTGATCTGCTTAAGCCTTCAAAGGTCCGATTCCTTCCGATTCAAAATCCTTGTATAGATAAGTAGCTTACCAAGGCGGGATCAAGTTCATCCACACTTCGGCGTTCACTTGCTGCGGCGGATCCCAACCGGCGGACGAATTTCTCCCAATTCGTATTAGTGATCGCGTTGATTGCAGCAACCCGTAGAGTATTACTCAAGAAGAAACCTTAATCGTTTTCAGTGAATCAAATGAGAACCGAGAGCGGGTAAGAAATATGGAAATACAGTTTCCTCCAATCCAAATCTTCAAAGTACTGGCAAAAAATTACTGAAATTGATTAGGCTAGAAGGAAGAGTCTGTTCAGCTTTATGGGATCACCAGAAGTTTGAACAAGGAGTTTCTTCCCAACAATAACAATCAACGACTAGGTGTCGAAAAGAACAATGATTTGAATCATAGAACCTTTTATTCTAAGGCTACGCCCTCATTTCGGAATTTGGAAAATCCGCGGACTAAGATGTCACGATTTGAGAGAACCAGGGGAAGCATAAGAATTGATGATGGAACTTGGGTCATTTTACATCGGAACTCGAGGTTAGTCTTAAAAATGAGCTTCACACTCAGCTCAGTGAACTGTGCAGCTTCAGACCCACACATGGTCCTTACCATGTGTGGGTCTGAAGCTGCAGTGGTGTGCCACTTCTCTGGTTAGGATTGCACGGGAACAGGATAGGCTGGATATACCCGAGTGAAATTCTTATACTCCGCTCGCGCTGCCGCACGGCCAGCTACGCCTAACCATAGCCAAACGCGATACCTGCTGCATTCTTTCATCATTGCTTGTTCTCTACTTCTAGGGCGGCGCGAAGTAGCCCGCGGGGTAATAGAATCGAGGTGAGAGTGAGAGTGCTGGCATCCCGAGGGTACCACAATGCGAAAGTAGAATATGGTACTTCAGGTGCACCCCGATAGCCCAATTGCGCGCTCAATTCAGGGCGGAAAAGGTGGCGCCGCTGATGCAGCTGGCGGGACACATTCACTAGCCATCGGAAAAGCGCTCCTCGGGCGCAGTGTAAGTTTGGCTTCTGATATCAAAGAATCGGAAAATGAATGTTGAATTTAGTTTTATTGAAGCTGATCACTAAACTGTGTTTTGACTGCTTTCCACTGCTGATACATCTGAGGCAAAAAGGCCAAAACCAACCTGTTTTAGAGCTTCGTCTTTTTCCTATACTATCCTGATTTCTGTGGACTTCGTAGAAATGTGGTGTGAGAAGCATGCGACAACATCGAATAAATTGTTCTGTCTTTTGGGAATCAAATAGAACATCTGCTTGTCTAATGAGCAATCGCTCATCCTAGAAACAGTTCAGAAATCTGAGTTGCTTGCACCAATATTAAAACTACGAAATAAGTGCGTGTGCCTTCATATAAAAAATAAACAAATACAAACTTCCTACAGGCAAGTGTGTGCAAGAATCCAGATCGTAGTCCTGAAGCGTCTCAAGCGCTCTGTCTGACTGACCCATCTTCTGCTGCAACCCTGATAGATTAATGCGAGCATCCACATGTCCTGGATTCAACTGTAGAACTTTCTCGAATGACTCCATGGCTGTGTTGACATCTTTGAGTGCCTAAACATAGATACAATGATAAAAGGTTCAAAACTCTTGAAGAGGCTCCTTAATATTCGTGAGAGTGGCCTTCTGTAAAGAGAGGTGAAAAGCATTTACAGCAGCTGTGTTTCCATAGATGAACCACATTTCTGGATTGTCGCAGTAATTGTTCCACTCTTGTAAGGTCTCCAAGAATAACTGCAAATAATCACCAAATAGCAAAAACCTCACGACGACAGGCTCTGTCAAAGTAGGGTTTTGCATTTTCTTCATACTAAACAAGTATTACAGGAAAAAAGCTAACCTTCGTCGTCTTGAAAGCATCACAATTGTAGTAAGCTCTGGCAATCTCTAGGACATGCGGCTCATCATCGTGAGATAACAAATCCCGACTGAGGAGTATTGCTTTAAGAGGCTAAAATGTGCCAACGACAGCAAGATGGATACAGAAAGTTTACATAGGAAGTAAATCAAAAATCTAACTCAATAATGCCGAACATTTGATGAGTTATGATAATGCTTTATCCGCAAGTTGAGTCCACAGCATGATCTTCTCATTCAAGCGCTGTTGCCCAAATTTTGTTTGTGGCATAACTGTATGACCGTGTATTTTTGGGACAGGCGGAAGTTGTAGAGCATGAAATTTGGTGCTACCACTTTATAGGTCCGCGATCAAATACCATAGGTGTTAGGCATGCCACACCTCATAACATGTCACTAAATTGAGAGGGGGGGGGGAAGAGCTCCGGGGCAGGCGGACAACTTCAATGCGAAAATTGCAAAAGGATTTCTTTAACCCTGATTGGAGCCCACTATTTCCAAGTCTAGGCGTAAATCTCCATCTCCTCGCACTTACTGCCATTCAGCAGCAAAATTCTGGAGAAATGGCGCGGAAACGGGGTAGCCGTAAGGCACGAACTCCTGCGGGCTTAGAAATACGGGGGGGGGGGGACCTTCCCGCTACTTCTCCTTGTAGCTCATTTCAGCTTACAAACATTTGTGAAACTGCGAAATGGTGCAAAAGAAACGCCCGTTCCTAAGAATTCACAGATCTCCACAAGGGGGGGGGGCGGAGGCACATCTTGAACTTTTGTGCATGGTCCTGTTGCGAAACCAAGAAATGTAGACAAACTGAGGACAGCGCCTGCCAAAGACGTACAAGAAAGTATGGTGAGCCAAGAACGAGCTTTTACAAGGGGAGGAATCCCGGGTTGGTGAGAAAATTATCATACCAGCTAGAATGTGCGAAGCCGATGATCATAAGGTGCTACGCGGACGAGAGTGAGCAGAGAAAAACAGAAATTTGACGCGTTCAAAGGAACTGAGTTGAAGCTGTCCGCAGACCAAGCCCCACGAGCTCGAACTGACTCAATCCCCAGTTAATCGTCTCAGGGCACTTGTCAACCGGAGGCCTCTCTTCTCTTTCCTTTTTTCTTCCTCCTTCCTTCTTTTCCTTCCTCCCTTCTCTGATCCCTCCTCCTTTACCTTCTCCCTTAACTACTGGACTGGTAGATGCCTCGAGAAAATACCCCTGGACCCTCGCAGCGAGAGCACGTCTGGTTGACAAGTGCCCCGTAATTATTGATGACCCCTGGAACGCACTCCCATTAACGTATCAGACTGTCTAGCCGTATTGGACTACCTGGACTGCACCAGCTCCCTGCACTTTTCAGGGGTACAGAAGAACGTTTTTTTAGAATGTTGCAGGGAAGAAGTAACAATGACATTTCGTTCAATATAAAAACAGGCAAGCGGAACTTTGCAGGCAATTTGAAAGAACTAATGAATTACCTTGGCGAGTTCTCGTTTCCCCAAGCCGATGAAACAAACAATCAGCCTACAAAGAGTGATCGTAGGGAACGTTGATTCCACATGAAACTCGACATCATTGTCTGGTGGGAACGGCTCGACAGCATAGGTACCGTGCGACAAAGTGATCTGAAAAACTCAAGTTTAATAGAACCATCTGAGCCATGCACTGTGTGAAAAAAAAACCGCAAATGCGCACCGTCAATGCTGGCTCGCCGTCAGCTTTTCTTGTGGCGAAGATTCCATCGCATAAGGCGAAAATGGATTTTGCCGCTTCGAGAAATTTGTTCTTAGCCATCCACATTCCTGGTAATTCATTCTTTCAGAGAGGAGAGGAAAATTCGGTAAGGAAGAACGGAACGTTTTGGTGCTTCAATGTAATGGAAAGGAGAAAAACTGTGGAGTTAAAACAGGATGTCATAAATTTTAACCTATCAATGTTTCATGCTGATTCTCCGCGGACCTCCCAAACTCTTTACTGCGGAGAACGAAGGCTTCCAGCGCTAAGATCGCTCTATCCTCATCGTTTATAGCGATGTAGTATTGAGCAACCTGAACAACAACAAGTGAAAGTTCTGCGATGAGTGATGGTAAAGCAGCGCTAAGAACGCCAATTGAACGGCAAAAGTGTGGTGGAGTCGGCAGACTGAGGAACGGAGAAGATTGGAAGACCCCTCGTTTCACTGTCCTTTGTTGCGCTGTTGTCAAATGAACTCTAACAGTGTGGCGCGGTACGCACAATCTAGGGTTTCTTGAATCTCAGATCGACTCCCGCTCGAGCCAAACAAGCTCTCCATCTTTTCTGGTCAGATCATCGGTACCGGACTTTTCTATGAGGGCAATAAAATAGTATTATACCGGGGCGGGCCACAAAATTCACCGCCTAGGTCAAATTGCTATTGAAATCATTGTTTCTGAATGAACCCAGATTACGTGGCGCATCAGAAAAGGACCGATCAACACTGAGAGCTTCACTCTTTTCTTTTACTACAGTTCGGGTTGAGATTCATCTTCAGAACTATCACATGGTTTTCAAATGTGATGCTAACCGTTTTAATCAGTTCATGAAACCATTCGAAGTCAACTCCAGCCTTGTGAGGGATCGATCATCTGAGCAGCTTGCAAACGAGTACGCATCGCTAGTGGTCGAAGCCCTGCAAGTCAGCGGTAACGCAGCCATGTCACCTTGTACAGTAATTGCTGTAAGGAGGCGACTTTACCTAACAGATCCAGCATCTCAATGCGGTTTTCGTAGTACTTCCAGTTCGAGACATTCAGTCGAATAGCTACAAATGAGGAAAATTTCCTATATGTGCTGCACAGAACGCCTCGTCATCACTCATGCCATGATGAGTACTCGTTTAAGGACAGTTCCCTCACCTCTCCCATAGCATGCAGCTGCTTCCTCAATGAAGTTCGAGCTTTTTAGACTTCGTCTCCCCAATGAGCCCAATCTTCAGCGGGTGTTCGTGTATCTAGATGAGCCGCAAGAAGACCATACCTGTAATTGTCGAGTATCACAGAACAACTGCTTAGGCAGTGTTCAGACTTCGCGACGGCAGCGGTTCAATCGCGCGATTCGACGATCGCGCATGCTTTCGACTGCATCGATCGCGTCGAATGCACGACCGAAACGCTGCCGTCGCGAAGTCTGAACGCTGCCTTACTTTCGAATCATAAGGAAAGGTTTACTAGTCCAAGATGCGCATACTACAAGAACGCCGAGTTATGAGCTTTTTTTTGAACCACAGAAAAAGCTTTACAAGACAAACCTTGTTATAGGAATGCCGAATTATGAGCGAAAGTCTTGATTTTAGGCGGCACCTCACGCTTTCCGGGCAAGTGCGGGCATTCGTGGCGTTCAGCTGGGGGAGGGGGGGGGGGGGTGAAAGGTAAAGACAACTTCAAGATGAGCATGTTTGATAGGTTGAACTAACTCACTGTAAACTCTTTTGAGGATCTCCTAATTCTTGATATATATCAGACACTTGTCGATAAGAAGCCGCATTGCGAGGCTCTTGCCGGATTACCTATGGAAGGGCAATGATGATAACAATGAAATTCTTTTGTGGCACCGATGTAGCACAGTTAAGCTCTCGAGGGTATCTGGCGAGACGTGTCACTAACACTGTCACATTAATGACGTGTCTGGGTATGTCCATGCACAGCCATTAAAGTTTCGTGGTCATTTCCGCCGCTGTTTAATTGTTTAATTCAGGTGAAAAGTCAGCCCTAAATCCGAACTGATAATGGACCTGTGCTACACCTGCGCCCCTTATACTTGCGTAAATCGAAATTCTCTCAGCAGAATTTCAAGAGAGTGAAGACTGACCTCCAGCAAAACAGCAAGAGCCTCTTGAGTGTTACCCTTTGCGTAGATGACATTAGCATGCCCAAGAAGGGCATCCATGGTTTTGCTCAGTTTTCGAGGTATTCGTTCTCGTTCTGGGGTTGGTTCCACGACTGGCGCTGTCTGCGATGTTGACGGGTGTTCCGTTTCTGTTGGTACCGACGCCGCCAATACATCAGCGCGGCATCCTCCGAGTTCATCGTTGACAATCTGAATGGTACATCTTCAGCAAAAAGCTAATCTCCTACTAATTCTCGAGTCAACAAAGCCTAGAATTTCCGATTAGGATATCCTTCCAGTTCCCAACACACCGACACTAGAGGTGAAGTCTGACCTCTTGCATGAGATTCCTAACGTGAATTGGCAGGTCGCCACCGTATTCTGTAGCATACTCCTTCTTCACAGTGAATTCCTGAAATACCCGTCATTATAACTGGTTAAATAAATGTCAAGGAAATTCTAGTACCGCTCCGTTATCGGCGTTTGGATACTCTTCATCCTCCTCGTCTTCTATGGATTCACCTGTACACGATATCAACTAAATATTGGGACATTAACATCCAATGGGAGGAAAATATACCTCCACCATCGGCTGCCATTTCTTCCTCAAGTGTTTGCCCTCCAGTCAATTTCATGAACTCGTCGTAGTCGATTTCATTGCGCATGAAACGCCCAAGAGCGCGATCGTAGTCGCCATCTGTTCCAGAACCTTAAAGCACAGGAATTGCATCATGTTGAAGCATCTCACAATAAAGCACATTCAGTTTTATTTAAGGCCTATCATGAAAATCTGGAAGCTTCCGCCGCTCTTCAGTAGAAGGCAGCCGAGAAAAATACCTTAAAGGCAATTGGCGCGAAGGCAAGTAGGATTAATACGCCTGGCAGGAAGGAATCTCGCGAACCTAAGCGCTGCATAACGCCTTTCTCAAGGAAGGATAAGGGCCCTATCAAGCTACAATATACCGACCCGAACGCCCACCACGCCCGCCGCCCACAAATGGACGACCGTACCTGATGCTCGTATTGCCATTTGCTAAGCAAATTATGAAGCGAAGGGATTGGTATGAAGCGGACCGCTGGTG